CCCAGAAAGTGATGCTACATATTTATGCAAGGATACTTTTTTAAAATGAGCAAATGGCTCACAGTAGAAGCTAAATACACATTTGTTAAACACATTTTGGGAGCCCACAAGTGTGAAAAGTGTTGACTGATATTTCTCCTAGTATCACAAAGTCTTAGGATGGCAAATCATTCCCTCTTCATAAATATTAATGGGGCTCTCCCTGTATGCAATATGTAGGCTGGGCCCCCAGGGGTCACAGTGATGTGTGTGCCCTGCCTGTTGGCCCCAGGAAGCTCAGAGTTGCAGAGATAGGAGAAGATAAATGAATGCAGCAACAAAGGGACAGGGTATTACTGAGAACATTCTGGGACAAAAGGACAGAGGAACATGGAGAAAGACACGTCGGGCCGTCTGGGTGAGCTGACTTTTCTCTCTGGGCCCGTTTCCCCTCTTGTAAGACAAGGAGTTCAGAAGGGATAAGCAAACACCAACCCCATGTTCACAGCCCTCCTGGCCTCCATCTTGGGAATTCTTTGAAGAACAAGGGCCTCAGCCCTCCTTTTTCAACTCTTACTCCTACCCCACATTGCTGCTCCCAAGGATTGGCTTGTGCTGGTAAAATTCATCTGGCTTGAGCTCTGAAAGAAATCTATCAGAAGAGGTTTTTCACATACCTTCCCTAAAAGAAAGAGAGAGAAAAAAAGAGTCTAGAGTCCAAAATAACCAGCTTCTACTAGAATCTCCCAGCATCATTTACTAGGGTTCCTGGGGCCTCTCCAAGTCCAGATGAGAAAGAGAAGGGTATGCCCCTTCCCCAGCACCAGAGTTTGAATGATCAAAGTCTAAATGATTAAAGGGTTCTCGGTGATTCTTCTGAGGCTGTTCTCCCACTTAGCAGATGGGAAAAATAAGGCCGAGGTTGGGAGGAACTTTCCCGCAGTCCTTCAGTCAACCACAGAGGAGGAGCTCAGGACGGAGTGAGATGAGAACCACCAGGCTGCGTCCTGCTTCAACCCGATGTTGCCCGCTATAGAACGCAAGCATTCTCATCCTGCAGGAGCCAACCGCCAGGGAATCCAAGCCTGACAGAGGTGAGAGTGAAGGAAGAACAGAAATTCTGTAGGCCAGCAAAAGGCCACAGTCTAGCATCCACCTTTGGGAGAGAATTTGCTTCCAGAGTCCATAAAGAAAGGAATCGACAATGGTGAAGGTAAGACGCAGAACAGGGCACGTGGGTGAGCAGAGATGGCAAAAAGAAGCAGAGGTGGGCCAGCACTGAGGCCTTCCCGTTATGGTCACCCCAGAGCTTGTCCCTAGTCAAAGATCTATCAGCCACGCTCTCCCCTGGACCACCTCATCCACTCACGAGTGTCCCTGGCTGCCCCACCATCAACTGAAATCCCATTGCCAGTCCCAGACCATCGGAAAAACCCCAGGGACCTCTCAGGGCCTGTAATTCAAAGAACTTCAGAGGTGGGTTTTTTGGTTGGTTGATTCATTTGTTTTGTTTTTTACTTAAAATCTGGAAATCTATTGAGACACAGAAACTCCCTTCAACAAAACATTCCTGGATTTCTTTTCAGATTTTTCTAACTTCACAGCATCCCGGAAAAGACCAGGTCAAAGATAAACTGAATCAATGTTTCCTGGTGGTGGTGAAATCATCCTTAACTGTCGTTACCTGGAGCAAACATTTTCATGAACAGTGTGGAGCATGTTAGTCGGCCAGGGAACATTTATTTCTTGACAGTCCCCCAGTGCCTCCAGCTCAACGGGGGAACAACAATAAAGTCAGACACAGCTTTATTTCTATGGCTTTGTCTTATGTAATTGATGCATTCATATGCCTGATTTCATGTGTTCCTTTCATTTCACGGGCTTGTCTATTCTACTAGGACAGAAAGAAAAAACCTTGTAGACACGCACATTTTTCCAACTTCCAGTTATAATAAGTATAAGAAAAACCGAGGTGGGGAGGAACAGAAACTCAACACGAGTTTAATCATCACACTAATGCAAAAAATACACCTGATAGGCTACTGTTTTGATAAAAAAAATTCTTTGTTTTGTTTCTTTGTTCTGTGGTGGATATCAGTTCTATTGAATTTGGGTTGAAGAATCCAGCACTATTTGGTCTTTTAACGGAGTAGGTTGCAGATAGCCTGTAATCATGTGTTTAATTAAATTTCCTGGTTTATGGGCTGGGGTTGTGGCTCAGTGGTAGAGCGCTTGCCTAGCATGTGTGAGGCTCTGGGTTCAATCCTTAGCACCACCTTAAAATAAACAGATAGATAGATAGATAGATAGATAGATAGATAGAAAGGTATTTTGTCCATCTACAACTAAATAAAAAAATTCCTGGTTCCTGAATCAGAAGTTATCATAAGAGATTAAGATGAGCTAATCAGGAAACCTGATCATAATTGTTTTTACCAAATATAAGCCGTGAGCATGACAGAGAGAGGACATGCCTGCTGGTGATGATAAGAAAGAACATAAGGACAAAACGAGGAACATGTGGCATTAAATAGGAGGAGTGGCAGCCCACTCTGGGCTGTTGGCAAACAGGGGTAGGTGCAAATAGCTGTAGTTGTCTGGCTGGATTGATTCACTTCTCCTACATCATCCTGCTCTAGGGGTGGCCATCAGGATATGAGGACCTTGTCATCTCATTCACAGCTAAAAGCTGGAGTGTGCTGATGGCCTACCCTGGTACAAGTGTTCAATAAATGTGGGGGCAGGGGGAGTAAGCAATAATGTCTGCAGCAACTGCAGCCCACCCTGCATCCCCTCACCCCTCGGTGGAGCCTCGCCTTCCCCTACCTTGGACTCTCCAGTGCCTTGTCTCCCAACCTGCTCCCATGAGAGACTCCTCCTCATCCTCAGACAGAAAGATAGGTCACCATGACTTATAGACTAGTCTCTTGATAAACCATTGTCCAGAATTAAGAGACTAAAGAACAGGCTGGTGTGTTGGGCTGGGTTAAGGAATCAGGTGGCTCCTACCTACTCCCCAGGCCAAGAGGTGGTCGGCCTCTTGGAGGCAAGTCTCCGGGGATTCAATTGTACTCTACCATCTTTGACACGGAATGGCCCTTTAATTATCCAGTCCTCCTGACCATCAGTCCTTGCCTCTTTGGCAGGAGTCACAGGCTCTAGAGACTGTGAGACCTGTCAGGCCACTTCAGTGTCAAGAGTGTGACAGCTGGAGGACTGGGGCAAACTGAAGAATGAAAGTCATTCTCTGCCTCTGAGAACAAGGGGAACAGCCATGGATAAGAAGAGAGCCTACTGAGGCGCCAACATCTCATTTCCCTGTGTTTGCTTTCTGGTTCCTCATTGTGGTCCCATGCTCTGACCTCCGATCTAAGGCCATTTTTAGAACAGAAAAAATAAATCTATTCCGTAGAGATGAGTGGTTCCCAAAAGGTTTTATTTCCTTTCTGAATCAGGTTCAGCCTCACAGAGCTGCACTTTCAATTTCTGTAGCCGTACTGTTCCCTGACCACTCAGAGGTCCTCCAGAGATGCCCCCTTCTATTCCAAGAGCCCCCAAAATGATGTTGAGTGACTACAAATAAGTTTTTGGTACTTTCCAAAATTAAACTATTTCCTTTGGTAAATTTCCAGCGAATGAGCTCACTAATCTGAAAACAGGATGTGGCACATGAAGAGTGAGGTCAGACTGCCTGCCTTTCACTTACACTGGCTTAGGGCAGAGAGGGAGGGCCGGGCAGGAGAGAAGTGGGACCAGAGAA